CACAATAACTGCATCATCATGGGCCACCTACAGTGATAAATTTTGTTAACTACTAAAAAAATGTGCAATATTACAAATAAACTTGATACTTACATTTATTAACCCTGGAAAAATATATTCTGGAAATGTGTTTGCATCACTAGGTTTCAAATTTTTAACAGTTGAAAGTGTATTATTTAAACCATGTAGTGCAGATTTCCTTACACCAGGAGAAACATCTTGAATCATATAAAACTTAAACAAAATTTATATTATCATTACTTTGAATAAATTATAAAACATAAAAAAAAAAAATTTTTTTAAACTTAAAAATTTTCAATTTAAATAAATAAATGTATTTATAATAATTGTTGTAATGATATTCAAATAATTACACTTCTAAATATCATAATATCATAAACTAACCTAACCTGTCAATAAATCACCCTTAAACACAATAAAATAACTGTTCATTTAATTACGCCACAATAATCAAAATTATGTATAATGCAAAGATAATTCTATATATATAATATATATATATTGTAATTAGACTGCTTCATCAAAATTGGGTCTTAATTAAATTATTGACTTTTCATACTCGTTTGACTTCAAATTTTTGTTATTTATTTAAAAAGTAAATAGATATAAAATGTCTTATTGTTATTGCCTATTTTGTCATATTAATTACAAAACATACATATACATATACATTTATATAATAATTATATACACATGACTATTTTAAGTCTTATACATAATTTTTATTATTGTATGTAGTACAATATAAAGTTATTTTATTGTATTGAAGAATAACATATTTAATATTATCATTAGGAAATAAAGTTTTGTGGTATAATTGTATAAATATCATTATGTTGTTTTGAAATTTCAAAATATTGATAATAAGCTATATTTTAGTATTTCATTATTTTTATGTAAATAATATTCTAATAAAAAGCTTGTTCAATTTAAAAATATAGACAATTGTATTCCAAAATGTATCTAGGTAAAATGTTTATTTATAAAAATTTGACTTACAATATATGGTACAATTCTGTCTAAAACAGTTTCTGCAGAACAATATGTTGATAATTCAAGTAAAACATCCATTGCTTGTATTTTAGTTGTAGACAAATGCAAACCTCTGAAAAATATATAAATTTACAAATAAAAAAAGGATTAAAAATGCTTCGAATAATTTTAGTTATTATTTGATTTAAAATGTATTGAAAATTACCTATATATAAAAAAAAAAACTTTTACCTAATACAAGAAGTAACTAATTGAACAATCAATACTAAACCATCAGTACATTCTTCTGAATCATTTGATGGAAGCAACATGTTAATTATACCATTAATATCACTTTTTAATCTGTAACAATAATAACATTAAAGTAGAGTAATTTTATTATTGTCCAAATACACTTATATTTTATTCGCTCACCTATCAATTTTTTCATCAGGTGAAATTATAGGATTTGTAGCCGAAAACATTTGTAAATATGGTTGAAGAAAAGAATAAAAATAATCTGGAAATATTTTATTTTTCTCTTCATCCAAATACAATTCAGCAGAACAGCGATCTGCTGGATTTAATTGTATCATAGATTTGATGAGATCCTAAAATTATAAATCTAGTAAAATATTTTAATTATATATAAATTATAACTGAATTTGTTTTACACACTCTAATTTCTTTATCTTCAATAGTATCAATGTGAGGGTTTGGATCATATTCTCCATTTCTATATGCCAACAATTGTGATAAATCAAAGGGTGGACGACCATCTGTGAACATTTCTGCTAATGCACATCTGTAAAATACAAATAATATTATCATAATATGTTTATAAAAAAAAATATTTATTAATAATTTATTTTCTTTTACCCAGTGGAAAAAATGTCCATAGCTGGAGTTAATTCTCCTTTTTTAACATGATCTTCAGATGGTAACAACTGGTTACTAAGTTCAGCAGACGTCTTTACAAAACTACAAAATTCAATTTAATACTTTATAACACTATTTAAGTAACATTTTACTAATTATATTATTTACCGTTCTGGAGCTATGTAACATAGCCTTCTACGAGAAGTATCAAAAAAGAATGAATAATCAGCAGGGTTATCATCGGGCAAATATGTAGGTTTGTAGGAGGCGATATCTGTGAGTAACACCCAATTCCAAGACGTAATCATAATATTTTCTAGCTTGATATCACCATGACATACCTATATGTACATTTACAAACATCACGCAATAAATAGAATTTCATTGATTAGTAACGTCACAAACACATACACCTAATGTGTGACATTGTCGTAGAGCAAACAATATTTGAAAAGCAATAAATTTTTTCTCTATCATAGTCAAGAAAGGTCTGGTACTGATGCGATCATACAAACTATATTTGACATATTCGCGCATCAAGAAAACAGCTTTGTCGGTCATCTGTAAAAAAAATAAACAAATAAAACCTAATTATCAATAACAAAACCTATAAGATTTAGTGAACATACAATAACTTTTTGAAAACATAAGCAATTGACAGCAGACTGCAGTTTGGACTTTATCTCTTCAATGTGCACACGATGTTTAACTAACGGCAACATTGGATCATGCAGAGCAAACACTTTAACAACAATCATTCCTTCTTGGGACTTGGCACGAGCCACCTTAAAAAACCTAGTACTTCCCAAGCTGTGAAACAAAACAGAAAATAATATTTATGAAATCATTAATGTATCGATATTGGAATTAGAATTTACCTCGCATCAAACTGCAGCTGAGAGTGATCGGTCAGATAGTGTTCGACTGGAAATATTTCAGACGGTGCAATACCCACCAGTTGGTTGCCCATCTTCGAAAATTTATAACTGCAGTGTTGATCGCGATTATTGCGAAAAACCGATCTGATAGAGATGCTATTGCAATGACATTGAAACTATTACTTTTCAGTATTAATCGTCAATTGCCCCATATCCATTGTTATTTATTTTAAAAATGAACAAATGTCAATTGTCAATAATTAAAGTACAGAAACAAAAATTAAACCTTTTTTAAACTTCTGTTATCATTTTTGGTTGGCTTATCGTTTAAATGCTCTAATCTAATCTTATCACAAAAACGTAATTTAAAAATCATAGAACAATATTTAGGAGGCTGTAACCATACCGTAGAAAAAAGATGAAATAAAAAGGCGACTCCTGTAGAACGTTTTGATATGACCCATAGAAAAGAAATTAAATAGAATAATCCCTTTACTATAGTAAAAAATTCATGATTTTTTTCTATTGTTATATACGCAATCTGTATCTTATAGATACAATAAGAGTATTGGCTAAATACAAAAACTATATACTTTAATAATCACGATAAAAATAGCCATCCAGTGATGGCACTTTTAAATTCATTTATATAATATACCTATACACGTATACATATATAATATATATATATTTCTTCGAGTAGGTTAAAAAATCTACGCCAATTATTTTAAGCGCCTTGGAGGATTACCAGGAATAACATTTGTTGAAAGAGCTTTAATTAGGGGATGGAATGAGATGCTAGACGATTATGGAATCTTTTATTAAATGTTATTGCTTCTTCTTTAACAGTTTTAATTTTTAAATCCGTGTGTAGGGTATGTTTTGATACAAATGAGAGGAGTTCGTTAATTTCCTTGATGCAATATTTTGAAATACATAAATTCGATTTATATCTGATATTTTTGCATTTCCCCAAAATTGGAGGCCATAAGTTCAAATTGGTTTAATGAAGGATTTATACACATTAGTATTTTTATATTTAGATTTGTGTGTTATTATTAACTAGTAAAGTTTTAAACATACGAAATCGATGATTTAGTTGAAATCTTTTTGCACAAGTATGATAGGCCCTGATGAATCTAGGGTTAAGCCAAGATATTTTACAGTCAGGGTAGATCGTAGATGGCATTTGAGTATCGTAGAGAGTAACGGACGGACAATGTCCGAGTTTAAGAGTAAAAGTTATTACGAAAGAGTAGTTGATAAGAAATTAAAAAGATACGAACAAGCATTAGCAATATGTAACTTTGGGCCAACTTGCAACTACTGCGAATCGCTTCAACTTATTTACACCATTCAAATGTACGTCAGTATTTGCTAATAAATTAATAATAACTAGTTAATTATAATATAATAATAATAGCTATTTAATACATATGATTTATTTTTGATAAAAATTAATGCTCATTGCACTTGTTTAAAATTGAAATGTTGATAACTTTTCTAATAGTATAAATTGTTTTATATTTAAAATTGTATAGAATTTTTAATTTCAATATATAAGTTTTGAAAATTTAGTAAAAGGTTCCTAATTAGTTTTTTTTATAAAAACATTAAAATTTCAAAAATACTTGAGCACTATTTTTTATTATAAACATTTTTAGCTCAAAATTTAAAATTGGATATTTACACAAAAAATAACAATTTTAATTATTATTTTTTATAATTTAAATATTATTCATAGAGACTTGAAACTTTTTGCTACTAGGTATATTATTATTACTATTATACACGATTAAATTATTTAAGTATTTAGTTTAATTTTAAGCTATTTATACAATTATACATTTATACTATAAACATTCACATAAAATAAGAGGATTTTTTTAATTGGTTGTTGTTGTCAGATCGAAGTCTATGACTCTGTATGACAATAAAACATAATCAAAACAATGATATTTAATCATATAAGTTAATAATTAATATATTTCTATTACACAATATAAAACAAAAAACTAGTACTAAAAGAACAATAAATAACATAGGTACATAGTAATAGTGATAGTCTTAAGTATAACACTTTTGTGCATCCAGTAACATAATGTGTCAACTGAAGTTAAAGAAATTATTTGCCAGAAAACCATAGCATTATCAATATTAAGAAAATATCATTTAATATGGGTAACTTGATAATAATTCGAAAATAAACTAAAATATTGTTTACTAACTAATACTTCTTACGTAAAATTATTATAATGGTCCAAGTATAGTTATTAAACTTTCCAACTCTACTATATGATGACTTCCCTGGGTTTGCACAGTTTTCAATATACTTGTGTAAAACATTTCTCTTAGCTTTAAAAACCGCGAAAAAGACTGTTCCATACTGATAAACTCTGAATGTAACCTTTCAGAATTTTTCATATAAAATTGACCACTTACTAATGCTTGATAATACATTAATATTTCTATGTATATTTTGTTCAATAGAATAAGTTTATCTTTGAGACCAACAACCATGAAACACCTTTAAACATAAAAATTCATTAAAAATCAAAAAATATGGTAAAGGTAATGAATAATGATTATAAATATCAAATACAATACCTATTCATTAATAATATTTATATTTACTGTTTAACTATATTTTTTGAATATTAGATTTTCCATAAAATAAAACTTCATATTATTTCAGTAACTACATAAATTGATATCGAGAGACAAACTTCTGATAATACTGATAATAGTATTTTGTATTAAAAATACAACTTAAATGTAATATTATGCATTTTTTAAGATTTAAATAGACAATTGATAAACTAGTAATTATTTATTCAAAATTTGTAAATTTTAAATTCTCCAACAATTTGCAGTGATGTAACATGTTGTGTTAACACACTAATTAATATTAGCAACAAAATATTTTTATTTTTATAGAATATTTAATTAATTTAAATCATAGTTTATCATACTTACCGTTTTAACATTGTGTGCATATATTGTTTGTGACATGCAAATAAATCATCATAATTTTTTACATTTTCAAAGTTTTCATTTAATTCTGACCAACATGTGCTAATTACCACTTGCTTATAATACTGCTGAATAGAAGAAACAAATTGAGTCATCCAATGTTTAAAAAGATTTATCTATAAACATAATTTGCAAAAATAACATAAGATGATACATGAATATATGTGGCTGAATAATTAACCAATAAGTTTCATAATATAGTATTGATTGTTTTTATAATTGATATTCAATGATACTATTTTAATATATTAAAAAATACTTACAATTCACTGAATTGCACACATTAATAAATTGTAAATAAAACGTGAAAATACTGGACATATATTGGATTATATAATGTTTAAAATTACCTTTCTAAATTGTAATCCTGTATCATTTTTATAAACATTCAATATTTCTCTGGCTTTTAATAAACTCCATGAAACAAATTCTAATTTGTTAGCAAACAAGAATATTCTTCTATATTTCAATAATATTTTATTTGACAGAATCATATTCATGGGCCACTCAGGTGTATAATTTAATTCTATACATTCTATGTCCTTAATAAAATTTAAAAAAATTAATCTGGGAGAAAAATAAAATTATTCATTATTTTACTTACTGTAATGTCAATAATTCCATTTAAACTTGGAATAAAAGTCATCTCCAATGTCAAATTATGTAGTTCATATTTTGGAAAACTATCTTGAATAGCATCATCTACAATGGATTTTAACTTGACTGGATTGAAGATGTTTGAAGGTTGTCGTCTGTTTGTCACAATACCATCAAATAATGTTGTACATAGATTAGATGAAAAAGTCCAATTCATCAAAAAGAAGCACTGTGATAAGTAATATAGTCGTTCCATTAAATGTTCTTGAACAAAATACATTTCCAATATTTGCTTATCACAAACACTCTTTTGTAAACGAGCCGGTATAAGTATTGAATGTGGTACATAGTCTATCATGTTAATAACATCAAAAAGATTGCCATTATATGTTAATGGATCATTATGATCCGAAAAAAATCCATAAGGCTTATTAAAGTCATAAGTATTATTAACTGAAGTCCAATCTGGCATTTGAAACAATTCATAATTTTCATTGTCTAAATATATTCTATTGTTTGTAACATTAGTTATAATTTCATTCTTATTATAATGACTATCTGCAATAAAAAAATATGTTACCTACATTAATATTAGGTATTATACTTCATGTATTGATTAAACAAATCTGAACTTTAAATAATTAAATTTCAGAGAAATTGTACTTCTATATAATAGGTTACAAGAGTACCTTTTTATTATGTATTAAACTTAATTCAAGCGATTGAAATAAAATAAATTATATATAGTAAATTGAATAAATTCAATGATAAATCATTGTAAAAAGATAATTATTCAGAGCAAAAACAATGTGTCAGCTTCTATTTCAAAGAACATTTCATAATTTTTATTAATTTATAAGTCAATACCATTTTTAAATAACATGGATAAAATTGTGATACAAGTAGAATTAAAAAATGCACAGAGCTAAAATATTTTGAAATTATATCATGTCTAGATACATGAATATTTGGTGAAAATTCCAAGTTTCTATGACTATTCATTCCTTGATAGCCAAAAAAAAAAAAAGAACAAAAAGATTTTACCAAAACTGGTTTTGTGTTATTATATACATTTTTCTAAATTTTTTATTATTTTTCTCAAATATTTTAAAAAATACTGAGCATTTTTTACATCACTCTTTTCCCCTAAAGTATCTACAAAGTCCAATTTTGATTGTGAAAACCAACTTTGTAGTTAAACATTTAAGTACTTTTACTGATTCAAAAGGTAATGATAACAAAAAAAAAAAATAATATTTTATCACTTAAAAAAAAAACACTCATCAATATAAAACTAATACATCCCTAGTTTCACTCAAAATCTAAAATATTAAATATTTTATTAATAGAAGTAAAAATAGACATTAATAATTATTAAATAAAAATAATAAGATCAGAATTAAATAATGAAACATTAGTCATATGAAATTAAAATACATAATTTGACAAATTATGATTATTATAGATTCTTTATATAGATATTATAAAATCTATTTAAATACTTAGTTTGTTTAATAATTTTATTTTATTTTATTAAATTTAAACATCATTAAATACTAAAATATGGGCTAATAAACAATATATTTACTATTCACGTATGCTTAATACTTATATACTTATACAAGGTATAATAAATAATAATATTGAATTATTTTTTCACTGTAATGGTGAAGTACTATTAATTACCAGTATTGTCTTCGGAATAATTATGTCCAATAATTGATTCATATAAATAACAGTTTGACATTCTTTTTACACAATTTATAGTTTTCAAACCAGGGTCATATTTGAAATAAGTCAAAAATTGTTCATAAGCCTTTTGAGTATCAACAGCATCAAAACAGCAAATTAAATTTGGTAAAAACACATTCTAAAAAAAAAGGGAATATTATTATTTACCTTAAATACTACAAATTAAAATAATATTACTTTTTTTACTTACTAAATCGTTAAATTTTTTAAAAAAATTAATAGTTTTTCCACAATTTAAAATATCTTTTTTGTATTTATTTAAAAATATTGGAACTTCTATACTCTCATCTATAATAAAACGATCCCAATGTCTTCGGCTACTAGTATCTTCATCCTCAATATCTGGTTTTACTTGAATGAACATGCCAGTTTCCTCATTATTTAATACCCCTCTTAGTGCCCAATTCGATAAAGTTCTAATAAAAAATCCTTTTATTAAAAAATAAATATATACATAAAAATAAAATTAAAGCAATGTACTTGAAATAAGCTAAGCAACACGATTCAAAAATGTATAATAACATCTTCAAAAACATATCATTTGAAAATCGACATTGAAATAAATAACCATGGATTTTATTCAACAATTGTATACCACAAGGTATATGCTCTGAAATGACAATACAATCCCGTATTTTTAAACAACATATATTTGCTAATAATTGTAAGCGAGGAGTTATGAAAGATAAACGATCAACAAGTGACAATAAAGATTCGTTTGATACAGCATAAATTGATCGTTCATAATCATCCAATATATTAGTTGTAGAAAATATGAATGCCTGGGAATAAAACACAGTTCATTAAAACTTATGAAACTGCCAATAATTTTAAAATTGTATTTATATTAATACCTTAATTATACTATTGTCACACATTTCCTTCCATTTGTTTATTGTGCTACTGATAATTTTGTATAAGTTAGAACACTCCAAAATTGGATCTGTAGCAGACTCAAACATTTCTGGAGTTAAGCCACTAATGCTTATGTTTCCATTCCGTTTGTACATACATGTTTCCTAAAAATATGACATAAAATATAAACCTTGACATCTTATCTAAATTATAATTTTTCATATTTATAACTTATAAAAATAAATTAATGGTAGTTAAGTAGATAATAATTATATTATTTGATACAATTGACAGTTAATATTAGTTAATTTAACTGATACAACTAATATTAAATTTCCTGTACAACAATCAAATATGTCTAGGCCATCTAGGGAAATTTCTAATTGAAATGATGAGGATAATGTTTTTAATGTTCAAAAAAAAAACAATTTTAAACTCTATCTATACTCTATTTAAAACAATAATAACAGTAGGCAACAAACAGTTTTCATCAAAGATCAGGTAACACTTATTTATCCTTCCCACAGAGTCTATCATTTATATGCTTGCCATATAGTTTAGTTACGCCTTTACACAGTAGCCAACCGCCGTTTTCTTATTTTTTTTTTTGAATAGAGAATATATAAGAGTACCTAGTAACAGCACAATTCTATGTACGAAGGCAACATAAGGCGTGAATACACATTTCAAATGCCACACTATTGAGAAGTTTCACTTTATTATTCTAATAACTTTTAAGTTTACATTTTTCTAAGATAAACAAATTAAAATATTTTTAAGGGTGCAGCCAGTCGTCAGAAACAAAAGCTAATAATGAAAACTGATTTAATCTGGGGATTTGGTCTAACTGAACCAGAAATAAATTAGGTTATTTTTATACAAAACAGAGTATAAATATACAAAAATATAATACTAACTTCATCGACTAGAAAATATGTTGTGCCCATATTGATCAGCATTAGTTTGATATCTTGCATGATACACGAAATACTAATTTCTCTTTGAGGAAAATATGTTTTTATGTTATGATCCCTGACATTTATTCCTGTAGAAATATACCAAAAACATAGAGCAGAACTTATCTTTTCTTTTTCAACAATAGAAAATTTATCAATTTTCTTTGATTCATTTAATTCCAAATTATCTGTTCCAACAAATATCTCCTAAAAAAAATTAAATATGTGTATTACACATAAATACATTTTATATCTAATAATAATTTTATTGTTTATCACTTTTAGTATTTTGTGAACAAAATGTCTTTAATCTAAGCATTTAAAACACTTCTTACCTTGGATTCGAGTGAAAGTTTATCATCTGAATGCTGTTGTTCTGTTTTTGAATTATCACTTAAACATATCATAAAAAATTCCAATAAAATAATATGCAACAAATAGCAGAAATATGAGTTTCATTACCTATTATTTATCTCTAAATATTGTGCACAATCAGTGTGCTGAAAATCTGATAGACTAAATACGCTTGTATAATTACTATAAAATAAAATTATAAAATATAAAAACAAATAAAAATTTAAATAATAAATAAACTAGTGCACTAATGTTCAAATTATTAATTTAAATAACATAAAAGAGACCAAATGAGCAGACACGTTTCCCAATATTTTTACAATGATACTGCCCCAAGATAAGTTTAATAATCCAAATCTGAGCATTATCTTTCACAAACGTCTTGATTTAAGTTTCCATTATAAAAAAATACTTGCTTCAAAACTCAATATTTGTACAATATCAAATATTCATAAACTTAAAAAAAAAAAATAAATAATGCTTCATACACACAAAAAAAATCAAATTATCCATAATTACTAATACTCCTTACTTGTGAATAACTTATAAATAATAATAATATAAATAAAAATACAAACATGCACATTAGTTATAAAATATAACAAAAAAAAAAATATCTAATGTAAAGTAATTAATAAATGAATGGTCTTGATTTTAAGATAACACTACTGAAAATAGACTAAGGATAATGATTTTTTTTTCAGAATATAAATTAAATATTTACCAATATTTTTCCCAGATATTACTTTTACAATCACGTGGTTTAAAATATGTTTTGTTTGAAGTAAATAAATTAGGATAATCACTGTAAACAAATTTAAAAACATGCAAATTAAAATAAATACAAAAATATAAGATAAGAATAATATTAAGTAAATTACAAAAATGTATCTGTATAGTCGAGAGTATTTGTAGAATCTACTTGAAGTGAATTAAAATTGAAAATATTGGGAATGTTCCTAAAAAAATATTTGAATAAATAACAAATTGAAACAAACTTAATTAAAACTTAATACTTTTCTCTTTTTATTATGCTCGATGGATACAAATCATCACCCAAATTATTGAATTCTGGTGTAATAAATATGTTTGGAATATTTCTAAAAACAAAATTGCATTTAGTTAACTAAAATAATTTGATACATTTAAACATTTTCAACTACACATTACTTTTCTCTGTCTACGACATCCAATCGTTCATAAATGAAATCCATGGAATTTCTTTTTTTAAATAAACTTTGATTGTCTCTATAATTATAATTATGTTAAGTACATTAATTATACATAAAATAAACAAATATTACTTGTCTTCATTTAAAGAATTTTGACCTCTCAAACTGCATATTGTAGACATTTTCTAGATGTATAAAAAAATAAATATAAATTTTAACAACTAATACTAATTATATAACCCATAACAATTAACAAATATCAAAAAAGTCTTTAATATTCCAAAAGTCCTTTTATAACACTATTTAGCTCTATGGCTTTTAATATACAGTAGAAATTACTGTAACAAGCATCAGTTAGAACAAAATATTGACTATGAGTAAAATAAGACGAACCTTTTAATTACAACAAACAAGTCAATATCTTTTGGCCATTATTTTTGTCAATTAGAAGTATGCCAGTTTTTGGATGTTTCGACCACCACACAAAATGCAAAAAATGAAGCATTGATGTTCAGATGTCTAGATTGATGACATCACAATTTCAGAAATTTTAATTAGTAAAGATTAAGTCAAAGATGTCATGGTTAACAAATAAATAGAGCCAAATGATATCAATGAACTTAAAATTAAATTTGATTGTTTGAAAAAACAAAATTATCATTACCAATTAAATAATATCTATACAGTATTAATTTTGATTAAAAGTGAAATAAAATTGTCTATTTTTTATACTTCTTGATTTCTATTTACAATGAAAACTCATTATAATTGATTATATACCATATTAACCATATATGAATTACAGGTTACAATAAGAAAAACCTGCTAGCTCTTGAAGCAGCATTTAAGTATATCAATATGTTACAATCTCAAAAAGATACAAGACTTGGAAAATACTGAATAGAAAAAGTACAGAATTTGATAAAATTTACTAATCAAAGACACAAAAATAAATATTGATAATAGAAATCTAGAGAAAATAAATGAATTATATATTAGTAAAAAGATGTTTTCACTATTTTAATATAAGTATGTAGAATATTTATTAAAAAACTTAAAGTTTTTTTTTTTTTTGTGAAAAATATTATTTGTTTTTAGTTTTTTACTCTTACATTTTATTTTAGATGATTAATTATTTTTGAACAATTCCCAGCCTAACCATGCCCAAAGTTGAAAAAAATAATAGACTGGAACAATTAAGATACACAAAATAATATAATATTCAATAGTGGAGAAATCCATAAGACAGCTTGCTTTAAATCTGCAAAAATCAAAATTAAATATTATAAAAATACTTAACTTATTGTTACAATTTAATAGTTTCAAACTTGAGGTTATTAGTAGGTATAATATTAATATACCTAAAGAAAAATGTAAAATCTTTTTTATTCATAGAAGATTTATCTTATATAAGTATATGAAATACCTATATTATTTTTAACAAAAGTAAATGTATTTACCTAGAATACATTTTTTTTTTAATATTCAAAAACCTCATTTTTAATTCAATAATTATATTTAAAATCAAAACAAATTTCTTAAATATAATACGGAAATAACATAAATATACTATGAATAATCATGTAAAATTTTAGAATGTTCTAAAACAAAATATATACCGTAACTAAGCATACCTGAGACTAAATTAGTTGTACTAATAAAATCAAATACAAATAACAACCTCGATGACAAACTCAGTTTATTATTCATACACCCGGTGTATTAAAATCAGGAAGAATTTAAATTAAATAATACTTTATACAACAATAAAATAATTCATCAAAAAAAAGTAAAACACTAATAACTTGTTTGGTTATTACTGAGTTTCTAGACTTAAACTAGGGCACTAAAAAATGAATATCGCTTTAATTTGATTATTAATTATTATGTGCCATTACAAATAAAAATATTCAGAATTAAAAGTTTTGTTTAACTATAGGTATATTTTAATTTGACGTTCGTAACAGACACTTTTATACGTTATCAATAATACGTTATCAAGACAGTATCCATCATAGGAAAAATGAGTGATAAATACTTGTCTGAAAAATGATAATGACTCAAGATATGATAATCCAAATATTACCAACCATTGTTTGCAAAATTATGAGCATTGTTTTTTTAACCATGTCACCTACCTTAGGTGGTGTTGCATAGCAAGTCGAGGGATATTTTCGTTTTGAATGTCCTAGCAAGCAAAACAAACGAGTGGCAAAGCTAGCCTCTAATTCCCTATGAAAATGTATTTCAAAATTTTATATTGGCAATACATTTTGTGCTCATCATATTATCCTTATCATTTTTCGGACAATTGCACCAACTCATTTAATGGTCAGGTACCTATCGTGAGCCATGATAAGAAAGTAAAAACCGGGAAAACGTCGTAAACATAAAGCAAATAGCAATGCAATAACGCCAGCCGCCAAAAGCATCAGTATTCAGTATTCACTATTCAGTTGTCACTTGTCAGTTGTCACCCGTTACATGTCAGTTAGCTACTTGGCTGTCACAGTTTACCGTCCTTCTTATAACTTCACGGTCTAGAGTCACTATAAAAAATTTAGAATTTATTAACCATCGTCTAAAATAGAAAAATATGGAATCAGTAACCATACCCACACGGGCATTTGTTAATGGATCATTCTTGCAGAAATTTTCCAACAAGCCTATAACATTGATCGGTAACGTGTTGAAGGTATAGTATTTATCGATATATCTACACAGCCATATGACATGACTGTTAATTACAAATGGTTGTTTTCATAGGTGAGTTCCGATGGTAAATCTGTAACAATGCAAGCAACAGATGACCAAGTAGTGACTGTTAATTTTCATGAACCAGTCGACAGCTCTCTAGACGGGTGGATTGAAGTACATGGTCTGGCCAAAGATAAAGGAACTGTGGCTGGAGAAAGTTTCTACAATTTACCATCATCAATAACTGATGATTTTGGTAAGTAACAATCAATGAATGGTTTTCCATTGGTTTGCTAGTTGACAATGTTTTTCTTGATAATTTTGCCAATTTCTAATTAATATTTTAACCTTAAAATAACAGTTCTGATTTCACATTATTGTTTTTATTTGTGACTAATTTAAATTATATTAACAGTTATTAATAAACTTTTAAAAACAACTACTGGTGATTTTTTAATTATTAATTTACATTAAAATATTTATTTTGTTTTTTTTTTTGTTTAGATAAATCACAATTTAACGAAACAGTTTCACTTATATACAGCCTATCAAACCCCTTGAAGTAATGAAGAAAAATAATTTGTTAATTTCAATTGTAATATTATTTTATTTTATTTTTTAATAATAATCTCTTAATTATCTTATTAAATATTTTCTAAGAAATTAAACTTTGATACTAAGAAAATTATTTTTACACTTTTTTAAAAAATATTACATTGCTTATATTTTGATAGAAAAACTGCACGATACATAACAACACAATTTTAGTTAAGTGAAATTTCAAGTTTTTCAGTTGTTACTTTAATTTCATTCATTTTAGATTTATATGTCAAATAGTCTACTAATAGAATGTGTTGTGCATTGGGACACAATAAATATATTTAAAAAATGACCAAAATGCATTGCTTGAATAAAGGAAACAGGTCTCTCTTTAAAAAAATAATATACTAATTAATAAAATATTTAAATGTTCAGAAGTACATTTGTTTTTACACTTAGTATCCTACTAATTTTTTCCTGATTTAAATAGCATACAATGTCTACCTATGTAACAAAAGAACATTTTTAGTATGAACTAGGTTCTATTTTTAGATTTAATCATAACAGACAAATAAATAAATTTCATTTTGGTAAATTATAAAAAATATTACACCATAACCATCAATATATATACATATTATACAGATCAACCTAATTTCATTAGTTTTTAAACTCAAATCTTTACCACTTTACCATTAAAAAAGTCGTTTTTGAACAATATAAGCAATTACACATAGAAAAAATGCAAAGGCAAACATAATAAGAATTTTGTCAGTTGTTTCACGTTGTCCATATTTGTTTAAGAGTTTTTCAGATTGAGTTAATGCTCCTTTAGCATTTTTAATCTCACTACTTATATTAGATACAGTTGAAGAAGACTTTACTGAAAAAGAATAATAAAAATAAATTAAAATTCTAATTGATGAATAGAAGATAAAAAATATTATAATCTAACATAGAGTTTCAAGAGTATCCAAACTTTGTTGAGATGTGCTTGCAAGTTGTCTACTGACTGATAAAAGTTGATTGGTAACAGTTGAAGACTGTTTTAATAAATTTTCTTTATCCATTCTCAGTCTTAAACAAAAAATAATTTAGTAACAGACAATATTGTCATTAAGTAATAACATAAGAGTGAATTCTAACTACAATATTAGTAAGTATTAAAATATATATTAAGTTATCTAAAAATAAGTTAAAATACTAATAATAAATTTAATAGTTATGTTTATTCTAATTTATAATTTTAAAGAACTACTTACTTATGTCGCACTTGTTCTTCTTTGCTTGTGCCTAACAACTGTTCACTAGATTTTTTGTGAATCCTTGCCATACATTCCACATTAGCCTTTCTGAATGAAGCAATGTTACTATACAATTTCAAGAATCAGTTAAAATAATAATATTATGTTTTTAAAAATAAAAATTTTTAACCTCACGTCAAGTACAATAAAACTAGTATTTATGAATATCTTCCAATAACAGAAATGATAAAGTATAATCCAAATCATAATCACTTAAATATAATATGTATTTAAGTAATCTCAAGCTAAATTTAAATGATAAATCCCTGTATATCCTAAGAAAGAGATATAATACTTTTAAAATATTAAATATGAATTATTCAAAGCAAATAAATTAGAATAGTCAAAATTTTACATAATTTTATCATTTTACTCAGATAGGTATTGTTTCAATTTCAAATACTTAATTAAGTTTTTAAACTTAACTATTAATTACCTAGTTAAATATTCTCTCTGATTACGAGCTTCTTCTAAAACTTCTGATCGTTCTTGTTCACTTTCCGCTTCTCGTGCATACAGCTCTAAGTTTTCTATTAAATTTCTAAATACATTTATTTGATTTCTACCATCTGCGTTTAACTGAGTTAAAGATTCAATAGGTCCATCACAAGAATAAATATCCTACATTTTAAATCATATCAAACGAATAAGGATATATTTGAAAACTATTTAGTTACATTAACAAGTTACCTGTATTATAGACTTTAAAGTTACATTTGTGTTTACAATACATTCTCTGACTGTACTTAACTCTTTTATCATTTTGAAATATAAATATAATATATACCACAAAGATTAACTTAATAGACGTACAAACAAACCAGTGAAAGTTACTCAAAGAACAATGTATTTCTATAACTCAATATTTAACTATCAAAATTATCACTAAATTCTCAAATGCGTTAAATACAATTTCAAAAATTATAATTTTTTATCGATCACTAGATTACGATTAAAAAATATCAGCATAACATATTATTGTCTCATAATCATTTTCATTTAACTTATAAATTACCTATTAAAAACTGAACTTAGTTTTGAATTTTTTGTTATCATAAAATGTTTAAAAGCACCCTACTCCGCCCAATATTTGTTATCGTCATAGTTAATAGATAAAAGATAAGACCGCAGATAAAATATTAAATATACATTATAGTATATAATATATCTGTGGATAAGACATATTTTGACTCTAAATCATGATTTATATGTCAGACTTAGGACTATAGACATAATATTATAATTTATGCTAACATTTAATAACATATAATCATAGAATAAAATAAATAGGTCATAAATCAGTACAAAGTAAAAAAATTCCCAATAATTTCTTAAAAATCAATAAAAAAAAGAAAAAGAAAGGTGAATACAGATTTACTGACTATTGTACATAAGATGGTAATGATGAATCTGTCTGTTAAATTTAAATTCTAAGATAAATAATCGAATACGAAAAACGATCCTGAACAAAAACGGTATAAACCAGGAGTCTACAACCTGCGGCCCGCCTAACGCCTTATCATTATTTGGTGCGAACAGATTTGATAAAATTAGAACGACTATAAGTCATTATTTAAACTTTAAGACATCGCTACAGAAATAATTGGGAAATATGCGATAAGGTTAACTGTATAAATGTTGGGGCTGCTGCCTGTTTGTTCGTTATAAATGTTATAGTGATACAATATTAAAAGTAAAGTACAATAACGTTGAACTTAAAATTTTTTATTCAAAATGTATTGATATGGAAACACACTCTAATCATCAAAATATCACAATAAAAATGTCTCTTTTTGGGATTACCTACTTATACTTTTTTCACGAATGAAAATTGTCAATTCGAAAACTAAAACTTGCTAAACTGACATTCACTTAGAAAATCCGCTGAGGAATGTATTGTGTAAGATACAACCAAATATAGAAAAATTAGAAAAACAATATCAGTAATCACCCTAAAAATAAAACAGTTAATTTGTAATTTAAAATTGAAATAAGTTAGTCTACATGTTTTAATAATAATAATAGTTTGCAATATAAAATGTTATCCTAAAAATTATAATAGTAGAACTGGATTTTTGTATAAAATGCGTGCTTTTACTATAGATAGGGTCCGCGAGATTCAAAAAAATAATAGGTAACCCACTGTAGATAATTTATAATCGACATTTGTCAAATAAAAACTAACAATTCTAATGTTAAAATCTCCAAATTAGTAGAAATATTTTGAATATTTTTTCGTAAAAAGAAAACAATAATATAAATATTTGGTAAAAATTTCGAATATCAACAGTTATTTGTTTTTCAGTAATACCAAAAAAATTAAATTAAATTTATTGAAAAGTGGATTTGTGTAAAAATTTACATTTTCATTTGCTTTTTCTATCATAATAAAAGTACTTAGTTTTTAACTTTGACTTTTTTAAATTAAAAACTAGATCTAATTTTCAATTTTAAACTATACCCAGAATTATATAATTTTTATATAAATTGTATAATTTATATACATTTAAAATTTTCGATTTTCATTAGTTCTTTTTAGTTACCAATAGGAAAAATTTTACTCTACCAAAAATCTTATAAACGTAATACAGATTCTTTATAAATAATTATTAAAATAAATTTTAAGAAATGTTAAGCTATAATCCATAACAATTTTATAAAAATTACAGAAATTGTCATTTGTCAAATTATTTTTAAACCATACCTAAAATTTGAATATTTAATGCAATGTCATTTTTATTTTTAGTAACTTATGTTAAAAAATTTTCTACTGGAAAGTAAAATCAATAAAAGAATTTAATTTAAAAACTAGGTACTGTATTCTTAAGCAAAAATTAATCAAAGTTACTTAAAAACTTATTAAAAATAACTCATATATTCAAATAAGTACTCGTCTGCCAATTGCTACAAATAAGTCTGTAATGTTTATTTATCACTAACCTTATTTTCAAATAATTTATACTATACTTTTAGTACAATTTGCATGTACATATACAAAACACTACATTATACTTACTTATTTCACAATTTTTAATATTAAACTTACTTACTAAATATAAGTAAGTTAGATATATATCATAAGAAATTTTAAATTGGAAATAGAATTTGACAATAGTAATACCTTTGTAAAACCTTTAGATATAAATATATAATCACAATTGAAAAATTCTACGACTATTTTGAACGGCAGTTATAAATTAATAAATAATCTTAACTATCTGTGAACATTATTTAATTCATGTATAAACACATAATATTTATTCCCCCTTTTTTTAACCATAATAATTCTAAAAGCAAAGAAATTTTTACATAAAACTATCCTAACCATATACTTAATATAAACTATATTTTGTTTATGGTTATAACTTATATTAAAATCATTGAATGATGAAAAGCAGGTAACTTCCAGTACACTTAAAATCAGACTCAGACACAACAGACAATAAAGTTGTAAATCCAATAAAAATCACTAATACAATTAGGTTTATATAAATTGTTGGTTTAGAAGAAAATTTCAATGTCAATATTGAGTAAACTTCAGTATTTAACAATAAATTTTATCTGTTAACAAAATTCTTAATGTTTCATCAGATTTTTTCTTACGTTGGAAATACGATACAACAAAATGACTTACTGTATAAATGAAAAACTAACAGTAAATTACTGCACAGTATCCAACCTTTTAAATATAATATAGAACCTAGAAAACATTTTTATATATTATATAGTGACGTACAAATTTTTTTTTTACGTATATACATAAATACATAGGTAAAACAATAAACATGAAAAAAATTAAACCTTTAACACTTAAACTGAAGAAAACAATATTACTCAAGAATAATATAAAAATATACTGTCCTAGTAAGTTCAATTTAAGTCAACATTTTAGCAATCAAAAAATTATTCATTATTATTTCTTAAGTTTTACGAACATTATTGGCATAAATTATTATAGTTCAATAATATTGAACACAATATCTCTTACAAAATTCTGAAATTATTTTACTTTTTATTTTATTATGCATCTATGTATGATTAATTCAAAAACAATAAAGTAGGAAACAAAATAAAAAAATAACATTAAATGCAACTTAAAGTAATAATAAAAATGAGTTATAGTTTTTTATTTTATTTAATACATAAACGACATTTATTTATATATAATTATTTTAATTTAAAAGTAAGTTTCTGTATCACCTAATACTTAACTTTGAAAAAAAAAACATATATATATATTTATATTTATATGTATGCATATAATAAAATATAAATACATATATATTATATGAAGTATGACTTATTTGAATTGACAATACATACAATAGTGTGTATTTTCAAAATAGTTGGTTTCCATTATAATAAAAGTCAATGAGAGGAATTAATAATAATAATAATAATAATAATAATAATAATAATAAAAAAGAGAGATGGGAGTATATCAGTTTTGGCCACTCCACTCCACAAAATAGAGGAAGGCGCGATTTATATAATTATTTTTTTTTTTTTATAATGCTATATAATGACGGCAAATAAAAAATAATACAAAATCGCATTTTAAAGAGAGGCCAGGAGGGTTAAGGGATAAGGGATCCATTGTTTAGTTTAAATTTTAGCGATTACCTGAAACAAAAATTGTTGTACATTATGATGTAATACACTAAAAAAAAATATTTAAAATTATACACTTCGTGTGAGAGATTTTCTTTTAAATATTTGTGCACAATTTTGAAAATTGAAAAATAAAAAGATTTGAATTTCAGAGTTGACATTGCTTTAATTAGTTGCTGAATTTCAAAATATTTATATCAATATATAAATTCAAAGCTAAAATTAAAGTACATGAAGGCTCAGTTCTTGCTCGCCTGGTTCGCAGTAGCTAGAAAAATATTAATACACATTTTTTTTTTTTGTTTTTCAAAGTTGTTTTTGTACTACTATATAATGTTAGATTAATGAAAATAAAAAAAATTACGATTTTAAAATTGAACAAACTGTGAAAGAGAAATAATTTAATTGATAACCATTAAAAATGACAATACATACATCTGAAAATACTGTCAGATATTTTATTTTGTTTTTAAAAATATTACTATTTTATGACATTTCAGTTTGTTTATTCAACAAAGATCATAATTTTTTTTCCATTAAAATTGTATTATGGGTTACCTAAGGTAGCTGAAGTCTGTGGGGGAAATGGTTGTGGTCCTCCAGCTGCAGCCGCGCCAGGCACAGGTGAGCCGCCTTGTGGTACAGCAACATTTTGTCCATCGTTATTGTACTCCTTTTGTTTTAACATAGTCCAATCAAATATGTAATCATATTGGTGATTTAATGTTCTAAATAGAATGCGGAATAATTGTCTCAAATACATGTAGTCTGGTGATTCTTCAAATCTTAAACCTCGGCTGTAGTTTAGGAACATGGCGAATTCTGCTGGCAATCCCTAAATTAAAAATAAAATGAAATTCTAAGTATTAAAATGTAATTTATTTTCTTTTTGTATTACTAGACATTAAAATATTTCAATCTATTAAACTTAATATAATATTTGAATAACTTTAAAACGTATCAAAACAAAATATAATTAGTAATAATACACACTATAAAAGTATAAAGAATGATTTTTTAGAAAATAAACATTTAAAATATATAACCACTTCAGAATATAGGTATTTTTAATTTTCCAAAAATGTGTCTTGAAAGTACTCAAATTAAATGATTATATTAACACCCATAAATATATATATTTACAATGAAAAAATTGTTCGAATAAAATTATAATTAAGAAATAAATTGTTATATTCATTATTAATATTACCTTGCATAGGAATTCGACAGGTGTTGACATTTTTTTCTCACTAATTTTCTCATATTTCTGCCTTTTTGTCGCTGCCTAAAATAAGTAAATAATAATTTATAAATTAATAACATATTATTATAAAATGTATTCATAAATAAACGTAAACAATTACAAAATTATTATTTACCTTTAATCCTTGCCATGGCAAACATCCTTTATTAAAATACATAAGTACATATCCCAAGGATTCAATATCATCCCGACGGCTAAAATTGAAAAAAAAAAAAAAATATTGAATTTACAAACATTTAAGGACTATAAAAATTATAACACTTAAGTATCAATATTATAATAACCTCTGTTCAATTCCTAAATGAGCATTGATAGAAGCATAACGGGCTGTTCCTGTAAGATTTTTATCTTCACGGTATGAAATATGCGTTCTTGTACGCATATCTCTATATTTTTTTGCCAATCCAAAATCAATAAGAAACAACTAAAAAGAAAATTTTTTTTATTAATTAATGTTTAATTTAATCAAAAAAAAAGAATGATATAATTTACTTTATTGCAATGACGTCCAATTCCCATAAGAAAGTTGTCTGGTTTAATATCACGGTGAATAAAGCTTTTACAGTGTACATACTCAATACGACTGATCATTTGATCGGCAAGCATAAGCACTGTTTTAAGTGTAAACCGCCGTGAACAAAAATTAAATAGGTCTTCCAATGATGGACCCAGTAAGTCCATCACTAAGATGTTGTAGTTCCTTTCTAATCCAAACCATCTAAAACCAAAATATTAATAATAATTTTTTTTTTTTTTAATTTAAGCTACATTATACAAAATGTATATATTCGAATTAAAATTTTTATTTTTCTATCTCTATTAGAAATCATTTCATCGTGTTCTTAAATTACTACCTATCTGTATTATTATTTAACTTCCTTATTGAAATTATTGTTATATTACTTTGTTTTTTATTATTTTGTACATTAAATTATTTAGGCCTGTCCTACAATAAAAATAAAATGAATGAATAATGCACTAACTGTAAAGAAACACTATATTTTCCATTTCAAGAATTTGTTAAATACAGATGATTAACTACATTTATCTATATATATTATATACTTTTTAACATTTATTGAAAACTACTAGAAGAATACGAACAATTTCTTAAAATAAACTTTACTTCTTATTTCTTATTTAGTCAAGTGCTGTATGAAGCTTTTTGAAAATTTTTAAACCAATATTTTTTTTAAATATTTTCAGTGTATTTTTAATACTTTAAAATTTTAAGCAATGCAACTTATGAGGAACATTGCATTAAATTGAATACATTTTTACCAAGCATAACGTTTACATTAAACTTTTAGAAAAAAAACTAAAACAATTTGAATATTTTAAACACTATTTTGACAATTATCTCATAATATATCTAAAAATTCTAATAAAATATTGGATGGGAAATTCCAAATTTCTAATATTGGAGTTATTCATTTTTGAATTATAATTAAAAATAAAATTGATATGATCAAAAATTGGTTTGGCGTAAATATAATCATTTTCTCAATTATTTTGCATAATATTATTGGAAATTTTTTATCCCCAAAGTACCAACTAGATCCAATTTGTACCAGAAAGTAGAAACTATTCTCAAAGTTTAAGATTTATATTTTATTTACATGCAGATATACAAGTTTTAATACAAGAGATACTTTATCAAACTTATTATAAATAAGTACACCAATATTTTATACGGCAATAAAATGAATGATAAATTCAAAACATGATTTTGTGGAATACTTAAATCGATAGAGGTCATAAATGTGTTTTATGGTGACAAAAGTCGAAAAAAGTGAAACCCGCCTGAAAATAGAAAACGAAACGCATTATAGGCGTGGTATGTTTTTTCTCGAGTCTCTTTATACTCAACTCCGCCCGGTGACCTATAAACCTAATTTGCTACTTGCATCATCAAAAAATAAAGATGGACCCAAATAATCGTTCACCCTTAAAAACTTCACGCATCAATAAATTAAAAATTATATTTTTCTAAGATACGATAATAATTAGACACAGTATAATAATATATTATATTACGCAGATAGTTGTAATCTAAACTCTAAAACACAAATAATTTAGATGACCAAAAATTATACATATAAATGTCATTATGATTAGTGCATTGTGACTATATTTTTTAGTTATTTCATTAATAATTAGATATTGTGACGTATAAAATATATTTATTTTTATAAAAAAAATAAAATTATTAATACTAATTAAACAATAACAATTACAACTAAAAATAAAAAAAATAGAATTAATGATCTCGAAAAGTTAAGTGCAAAATGAAACTGTTAATAAATAAAGAAACAATAAAGAACATTCATATGTTTATCTACAACGTAGACAAGGTTAATTATTACTCATAAGTCATAAATATATCGTATATCTAAATTTTTTTTTTAAAACTTTCGGAATATCTTTTGTTTAAATAAGCCACAAGGAAAGGACTTATAGTTTCTTGTTTATATAATAACATAAATACTATTCAATATCATTCACCTTGTCTGATCTATGCATGTACGTAATACGCATGTGTAATGTATAAGTGCATTTACTATTGAATAATATATATATATATATATAAATATAAATTTTAAACATTTTACATTTACTCTTGGCTTTTTGAGGTTTCCATTATTTGGAACAAATGTTACTATAGAAACACCACTGTGCAACCGAAACGGATGACTGATTCGGTATGAAGGAGACGCCTACGATTTTAAATTATTTGTATTCATAAGTATAACAAAATAAATAAATGTATCGAAAAAAAAGTAACAAAATCTAACTTTTAACTCTTTTTTTTCCAACGAAGTACCTCCAATGGAAGATTTCTTCACTCTGTCATTCCTACGACTATTTAATATATATTATCAATTAAGCTTATTGTTGTGACAGATTGCTAAATAAAGAATTATGCTAAAAAGAAAATATATATATCAAATTTGAGAAAAATCGGATATTTTTAAGATCGTCATTAAAATTAAAATTAAAACTACTTTCGAAATGTACAAAGCATAATCCATAATAAAGTTAACTACTTTAATGGTTACCTCAATACCGACTACCGCAGACTAATGTAAATCTGCAGATCGTTGGTATTGACTTATACGCTATAAGAAACTTTATGATTTATAAATTATAATTATTATAACGGCTAGTAATATCATATGAAATAATATTATAATAATAAACTATTACATACATGATATTTTTTTTAAGCAAATATTAATTCAAGCTACCATCTTACTTATAAGAAAATAAACTTATAGTAACACAAATAAGTAATAAAGGGACGACCGTTTCTGCTCAAAATCGTTTTTCGCATAAAACTTATTAACTTATTTATTGTTTATTATTTAATTGAATTAATTATTATTTTTCTATTAATTTGTCACTGAATTCAATTTTAACTCATTTTTTGCAGTAACCTACTTAATGACAAGATACACTTGTCATTAACTATAAAACATGGCGACAAACAACTCCTAAATTATTTCAAAGCTACTGAAAAGACTGAAGTACCAACTAAATGCAATAAATATCTAGAAATCATCTTAAAGAATGAAAGAAAAAAATATTTTTAATTCAAAAAATGATGATTAATGACAAAAAAAAATATGTTGTAAAACTAATACATTCATTTTTTGGCTAAGAATCATGACATTTTAGATTTTTTTTTATTCTTGTTTACCCTCTGATAAAGGTATTATCACAAATGTTATTAAGTATAGTAATTAGTAAGTCATAAAGAATTGTAGACAAACAATTATATTCGTATAGTACTATAATGTAAACACGTTAGTTATAATATGAGTAAATGTAAAACAAAAACAAAAGTACTAAATGTCACGTTCATAGACAAATAACATTAAAAATCAAAACTATTTAAAATTATTTGATAGCACAAAAATACCACAGGACTTAACATATTTAAATAATTTAACGATAAAAAAAATTAATTAAAACAAATATTTTATGAATTATAATTATAGAAAGAAAGGTAATCAAGTGGGTATCGTTCTGCTATACATTAGGTGTCGAGTAGGTTAACCATAAAGGGCGTTTTGAAAAAATTTTAATTTTATGAAATATTGTGAACGAAAATGGTCTGTCAGCTTATATCACATATTTTTCGTGATATATATATATTTTTTTTTTTTTTGGTATAGCTAATAAAGTAATTTAACATATAGTACAATAGTAGGATAATTTTTTCTTGTATAATGTAATATTTAATTATTAAAAAAATTTACATTAATACCGTTATTATTAAACAATTAAAAAAAAAACACTAAAAATAATCGAAAATTTCAATTGTCAATTAATTAATTAGCTAAAACAAAAGCAAGACATTTTAAAAATTATACCATATACAAAAAGTGATAATATACCTAAATATTAAATAAAAATTTAAAATTATTATAGTTAATCGTTTTTGAATAATAACATTAAAAACACAATAAAGAAATAAATTTTGCTAAAATCTACATTAGCATGAAATTCACGTTTATCTTAAATTTTTGTTTGTTTACCCAATTATAGAAAAAAATACTGTACATTTTTAAAATATCTTCTCCAAACTACAATCTAAATCTAATTTTCTATCTAAAACCACCCTATAGTCGAAATTTGAAATATTTTATTGACAATTATTTATCTCAAATACACATCATTGTAAAATCAATACATTCATTGTACCGTTCAGAATCTAAAATATTATTTGTATTTTTAATTAATATCGTACTAAAATAAACTAAAATTACAATATAAATAATAATACAAAATAAAGTTTAAACGTTAACCTTAATGCAAAATATAAATCAAATACTTTTTTTTTTCATAAAGAGTACTTAATTTTGAAATATTTTTTATAAATGTTATGATTAAAGACAACATATCAACCTTGCAGTGCAAAATAGACAAATATTTTACCGACTCAGACTATAAAATATATAATACGGGTTTAATGGCTCAATTATTTAGGGAATTAATTACAATGTTAAACTAATAGAACTCATGGTCATCGAAATTCAAATATATGTATATATATATATTATATACGTAAATAAAGGCCATGTGTTAAAACTTAAAATATAACCTTGACATTAGAATAATTCAAAAATACGAAATATCTAAGATGTCTACCATAAGCATAATATGAAGTCAAATCTTACTTAACCATAATAGGCAATGTTAGTTTTAAAGGGAAACATAGAGAGGCAGTCCCTTTTCTTTTTTAAAAATTTGAATGTGTACCTCTCTTCTAACTGTATACTTAACAATAAGACATGAACATATTTTTTTATACTCTTGAATCGGTCTTAATTATTTCTTATTCAATCACTGATATTAAGGATAATAATTTTTATTGCAAATGTCGACCACATTTTAAAATTATTAGTTAAATTCACCTAACACCGGGGATACCTTGTAATTCTCAGCAATCTAAAAGAATTAAAATATTTATGTAATTTTTTTTTTTTTTTTTTATTATTATTATTGAAATACTACCTATAATAGTTAAAGATTGTTTATGAATTTATGATTCTTACTATTACATCTGTTTCATAATATTATCACATAAAACCTGCAGTATAAAAATTCCATCACATTAGTACAAAGATAGGTAAAGTATAAAAAGATCATCGGTCGAGATGACTACACCATACGTAAAATGTCAATGAAATTATTTTTATCATTAAAATACATAAATACACGTAAATACACATACGCGGTACATTAATATTAGTAATTAACATGATTTTTTTCTTCACATTACAGTATTCAGTTTTATTATCGTCTATTATTGGCCATTGGACTGTACAGATTTCGCACGTGTTACTGTTATTTGAAGGGAGTGGGGAACATAACGTTCCGACTAAAATTAAATTCGTTTCGATATCCAGGATCGAGACCACTTATATTCTCGCCAATGACCAAATGCGAATATTATTAACACGAATAAACAAATGGAAAACACAGCCGTCGGTCTCACGGCAATACTACGCTAGGGCTATCGTTCATTGGAAGCAGCACGCGTACAGCACACAGCTGAGTACGAGTGCCGGACTGGCGAGTGGCAAGTGGCGACTGCAGCTGACGGGGCCCAAACGAAGACAATGATGAGGTTTAATGGCCCTAGAGCAACGTTGCCAGCTGTTGACCGGCGTAGTACACTAGTACCGTAGTACGAGCGACGTTGCCGCATCTTTCGTTCGTAATAGAAAAGTTTCGTGATAGGTATTATTCCATGGCAGTGGTTCAGTGGTACATAATAATGTTATATTATACATTTGTGTGTACAGTAACATATTATATTACTTATTTTATAGTGGCGTCAGTGTGCTCCAGGAGAGAGAGCCGACGGGAAAATATCGTTACGTAACGATAATAGCATAACTATACGTAGGTTATATAGACGCCGTCTATATTGCGAATTCAATCAAAACAAACGCCTAAGTAATAATATAATTTAATAACAGTCTGTTATTATTGGATGATGGAATGGATATTTTAAAATATTATTTATCGGCAAATATTATTTTAGACGGCGACAAAGACAAAAAAACATTTTTTTTTTTTAATTTTATAATAGAACACGGACACATTGATTAATATATTAGATAACTGTAGAGTGTAGGTAATATACATTAATATTAATTATCAAAAAAAAAAAAAAAATAATAACCTGAAAACGCAAACATCATGATATATTCAATAAATTATGCATTTTAAAATAATTTGCATATTTTAAACACAATTTTACAGCCTAAAGCATAACACACAGAATATATCTGTAATATAAACAAAAATCATAAATTGTGAACAATGAAAAAAACAATAATCAAGATAGTAAAATCTTGTACTCGGAAACTTAGAACTTATGGTCGTTTAGACGCTTAAAATAAGTTCACTTTTATTTAATTGAAAAGTGCCATTCTACTTACACTTTATTTTTAAGGAAGACTTGTTAATTTATATCTAAGATTACCCTATATATTTTTTTAATATAATGCATAGTAGTTAAACTATTAGTTTTATAAATAGCCAAAAGGTAAAAATAATTATTCTATTTAACAAAAAAAATTCATAGGGGCAAACCAACAGTAAGGTGAACATAGTTATATCCCAAGAAACATAAAGTATTCTAAAAAAGAGAGTAAAATGTATAAACTAAAATTATAACAAAAGTTGTATGTACACTTTATGACATCTTAATAATTAAGACAATGACTGTAAAACAATACCAATATTTACTTAAAATAATGGTTCAATAAAAAAAATAAAAATATTTTTGTTTTATATTTATAAATAAAAACCATGAAGCCATATTTTAATTGTTAATACTATGTTTTTTCTAATATATAATCTAATAAATATGTGTGCTAGGCACAGTACGGCATACATAGTTTATATAATATAAATAAAAACTCAATATATTGTATTTATACCATAAAAATAACTTTTATAATAAATTATAAGTTATATACTAGCATGTTTAGTAGCTTTATCTCCATCTTACTAACATATTATAATATACTTAATTTTTGTCCAGCAAAACCAATTAAGTACATTAGCCCTAATATTAAAGTGAATTAAAAGTAAGGACAGTATATGTATGCGGTTTTTTTTTTTAACGATATCTCAATTTAAAAGTTAGATACGAGTACAGTGGTACCCTGATTATCCAAACTAATTGGGACAGCAGCTAGTTTGGATACGCAAAACTTCAGATATTGGAAATTTAAGAAAAACACAATAAACAAATTTTTAAAACACAATTAAATATTTAATATTACATATTTATTGTTACTATAGTTATTAATATTTTATTAGAATTACATACATAACATACATAGAAACATATGTTTATCATATTTTTTTGATAAAATTATCAATACGAGTGCTTCAACGAGTTTTAACCTTCAGATATACTAATTTTAGTTCGAATAATAAGGTTTTATATAGCAGAGATTCAGATAATCAAAATTCTACTATATTTACAGTATCACAATTTGAAAATGATCATAACTTGCTCAAAAATTGATAAAAATATAAAAAATATTATAAAACATATCACTCTTATTTTTATTATTTATTTAAAAAATAGTAATATTTATTAAGTCTAATAATATATTAATTTACTCTGATATTAAACCTAACAATATAAAATTGGTTCAATGGAATGCAAATCAACTGTTGTACATTTATAAGACTGATACAAGTCATAAGGGTTTTGTGATTTTCTAGTAAATCATCTTTAAAGATTACCTTAGAACAATATTTAGTCCAATATAAAATAAACACAAATTAACATTTTGTGATAAAAAATTTCACTAAAGTGTAAAATAATCAAATTAAGAATATGTTACAATATTACATGACTATAATTTAAAACCTATATGATTTTATAAAATAATTGTAAGTAACTTAATAATCAGATTTAAACTGTTAAGTATAGTGAAATATTAATAAATTTCATAGAACTAAAATTAATGTCCACTAAAAAAAAAAACTGTAATTTTGTTAATTTTTCTTTTAATAGCTCAAAATATTCCTACCTAAACAAGATTTAAAAATTAGTAATAATAAAATTTATTTTTAGTCTAAATGTCATAATATAATATAATCTAACTTTTAATATCTAAATATTTGTATACTATTTGTACCTTCTAAGAAATGGATTAAATTTTGAGCCGAGTAATAATATTTTATAAAATAATGATAAATTAACTTACCTCATATGTGGTATTCCAACTCCTCCTTGTAATACTTTATAAAGTCTGCTTTCATACTGTAGCTGAGGATGACGAGCTTTTGCACTTTCAAATTTTATTGCCACCTCCTAAAAATGAATAATTTTTTTTTCAAATAGAATATATCTACAAAATTTCATAATAGATTTAATTATATTTAAAAAAATACATTTTTTAATTTTAAATCCTATCATCTAAAAAAGTACAAATTTTATAATATTTAACAACTACACCACTATATTTTAACCACTTATATTATTAACACGTTAATCACCATATGATTGCCGGCAGTCATCTGTAATTCTCAATTTTATACATTTGTGATGGCTGACGCCAATAATTCATCATTACTACCACTCCACATGACCTGCCAGCGACCATAAATGAATTTAGTTTTATATTATTAACTCTTCTATGGCACTACAATAATGCACCAAAATAAGGACCAAGGCGTAGCAGAAATTATTACAATTGTTTTGATATAGATACCTATAATACATTATTTTATTTTATTTCTTCAATTTTTTTTTTTTAATATTTAGTATACACAAATTTGGAAACATTGAAAAATATGTTTAGCATATAACAAATACCTATTGAATGACTGACAGTAGTCATATGGCAGTTAACGTGTTAAACATTAGACTTAATAAATTTAATACTTAAAAAAACATAAATATAATGTTATAGTAAGTTTGATAAATATTATCTTCACAGTTCTCTATTTTTGAAATAATTATAAATTTTATACAGATTGTTATCAGAAATATCTAATATAAAAAGTATGTGAAAATAAGCTAGGTAGAATCTTTAAATGTTTTATGTATTCAATTTCTAAGATCTATAAAATTCGTGAATTTAAAAAGTTAATAATTAAATAAAACTAGGTACAATAGGTAATTTATTTTAAAATCTACAAAAAGAAATAAACATCATTTATAAGTACTTAAAAACAAATAGTAAATCAATAAATAATATAAATAATCATATTAGGAAATTATCATACAAATATGATATATTATAATTATATATATTTGAGAAAGGATATGTTTTTGTTGTATATTTAACACCTTGGACCTGAATACTATAACCAAGGTTTAAATTTCAAGGTTTGAAATCAAAACTATAGGAAGGTACATTAAAATCTATTGATACATGAAAATTATTTTCTTTTTAATAGAACATAATAGATAAAATTAATTTTTAATTACCTTTAAGACATTTTATAATAAAATCATTAAAAACTCTAAAGTTAAATTATTATTTTTTAGAATTACACAACACAAATTATTCTAATATCTAATAAACAGTAGGACTATCTACTTATTATTTTTGAAAAAAGTATTTAAAATGTAATAAAGATTAGTTTTAAAACTAAATTAATTCAGTTCATTAATGTTTTATAAAAAAAATTACATTATTACAGTTAACTTAAATACATTGATCCACAATAATAGAAAAATTAAACAAATAATTAATAGGTAAATAAAAATATATTCTTGAATAAAACATGAAATTAATTTTTGGGATTTAAAAGAAGTATTTACAAGTTACTGTTAAATGTAATGTATACTTTATTCTAAGCTTTAAATATTATTTCATGTTTTGAACAAGTTAATACCTAATTCATGATGTCTAATATTTAAAAAAAAAATTGTTGATGGCTTATCAAAAGTAGTGTACCTACATTTATACAATAAAAATTTTGATAGAAATTATTATAAGGAGTTAACGTTTTTGGATACTCTTCTGCTCCAAAATATGTGTAAGATCACATACAATCAGGAAGTAACAGAGGTATTGAAATTATGGCTGGCAATAGTCAAGATAATAAAACAAGCCTATTACTTATATCTTTTGATCGTAGATTTAAACCAAAAATTAATCTATTTTTTAATAATAAGTAATACATAATCAGGATACACAATAATTGTCCTTAAAATTTCAGGTAGATTCAAAAACAAATAAAACTAAAATTATGATAAAGACAAGAATGTGAGTGTCCCAATCAGATAAAAACAACTAAAGTTAATTTATTTAAAAACATAAAATTTGAAACATCTATAAATTAAAACCAGATACTGCAGAAAAATCTAACATAATAGAATATTAAATATCCTTAAAATGTTTTTACAGATTCAACAGTATCACAATATAATCCATAAAATATGGTATCAGCAATATTAGTACATATTTAATAATTTAATATTTTCATCTATAATAATAATCTAAAATTGAAGAATTTTTCGTTTTAGTTATACTACCTAATCTAAAAAAATGTTTTACTTTAAGTTCTTAACAAGTTGCTCTACTTATTGATATTACTAATACACAATCCAATTTAATTTCTAATTCTTATTATTAATGCTACTCGATGTTAACAGTATAGTAATAATATAATAAATGTAAACTAGGATGCTATTTATAAAATGTATTTTCATTATCTCATTTTAATGAGAACAAACACTTTATGAATTACTAATGGACATATGGTTTACAAGGTATCACTAAGTAAATACTATATTCCACATTGCTTATGTACCGAGGGACAAATAAGTTGATAAATAATTTCAATTAAGTGCCTGTAGAACAATCATAAATAAGCTACAAAATCGAGAATGGAGTTATCATACGACGTCCCCAAGCCCTAAGTAGTAAGTACCCGCTACATTTACGAGGGACCACCATCAATCAGCAATCTCACACAAATAACACGTTAAGTAAATACATACACGCATAAATGTATATTATATAAATATCATACTTTATGTACATTATACGTACACTCATATAAGTATACACGCGCGCATATATAAAAATACGGTGCCATGCACACACGTAAGAATGGTAGTGGTGTAAACGGGGCGAGAAATGAGGATAACAAAAAAATAAGTTTGTCATAACTCACCTCGCCGTTGATAACATTAAGCCCGAGAAATATCTCGCCGAAAGACCCACTGCCGAGTCTCCGGACAACACGGTACTTTCCGCCGCCTATGTAATCGTGTTTGAAGGTACTGGCGACACTCGACATTTTGCGTTCGACTTCCCGGACGGTTCACAGTTCCCAAATTTGGTTATCGACGGACGCGTCGGATGTGCCTGGGGGGCGGGCGCGCGCGCAGCTTGTTACTTGTATTGTGTCGAAGATAATATTATACAAACTATTCGGTTTGCCGATGACTTATTCTAATGTTCACATAACGATCGACAAGACTGGAGAAAATCGACGAAAACAAAAAAAAAAACAAAAAAAATTATTCCGATTACGTCCGATCGCTTTGTTGTTGTTGGCTCGTCTGACATTAATTTCGCAGCGACTCTAGCGACACTGGCGGTGAACAAGGACGTCTGAGACGACAGATTTCAAAGAGATCGCGGAAAAAACGGTCCTGCGCCACACTGTAACCACCAGTGTCCACCACCACTTATGCGCGCCAACGTTTCAAAGAAAAAACTTCGATACACGCGTCTCATACAGTGATCGATACCTATACGGCTACACACTACACAGTACTCACAGAGAATTATGAAGTATTCAATCTACTTACTGTTTAGCCAGTAGCTATCCTATAATTACTATCGGTACTCGTTAATAATATCAAATAGTATGTTCTTAAAATATTATTATCTAATAAAAAATTTTACATTTATACACTCTTTCCAGAAATCGATAATTGTCACTGTATAACATTATTTATGAAAATAAATTAAAGCGTAAAGCCACAAAAAAAAAAATAAAATAAAATAAAATGAACGATATTATAATAATTGGTGCAATTATGAATTGAAACCTAGTTGTACGGTAACTGTAAGAGCCGTTTTTAAGTTGGTAAAAATTTAATTCATAATCTCAGGGTCCTATTTTTTAAATTTATAGGTATTATATTTCTATGTTGTACAATTTGTGGCACACATAATAAATGAGTTTTAATTATTTTATTTTAAAGAATCTTTTGACATTATCCAATATGTGAAAAATATCACTATGAGCGAAGATTCCGATTGATCATTATTCATCACTCATTACCGACATTCCAAAAATTATATTTTTTCATTTAATTAAATAATTTTTAAAATTTCTTAATTAGCTAGATACCTACATATTAGACCCTTTTTTACAATGTGTACTGTGCAGTAGGTATGACACACAATCAAATTAAAATAATTAAAATTATAATATTACACGTGAAAATGTGTTCAATTTTTCCAAAAAAAAATCGTATTTATAGCTTTGCCTTTTCCCATAGGATAAGACGTCGTATATATCAGTGATTCCCTAACTTTTTTCCATCGCAACACATAATTTTATAGTTATTATTAGTCACGGCATACTTTGGATAAATATTAAATATTATCTACTTTTCAAATTTAAATGGTTTATATATTTATGTTTATGTACCTATATAATGTTCAACTTTTCGAGACATGCCTTTCAAATTTTACGGTACACCAGTGTGCGAGGCACATCCTTTAGGAAACACTGGTAAGATATATGATACATGTATACACTAAAATTAAAAACAAAAAAATAGCTGATCCTGGACTACCTATGACTATAGCAAGTATATTATATATTATATATTATATGGTATATACCATATTTTTGTTAGGTATATAATTTCAAAATAGTACTTAATTAAAAATTATATTTTTAAAGTAGGCTTTGTTTTTTTTTCTTTAGGTATTCATTAATTTATATATATATATTTTTAAACATAAGCAACTTCCACAGTTTAAATCTAGTTTACTATAAATTATTCCAGCACCCCCTAAATTCACACCCAATGTGCGCCTATGCTGTTACTTAGTCAAGATTACATTATTCTCAATCTAATTTCTATCAATTACTAAATGGAAAATTCTTACAAAATACTTGATCGTTAACGATTTTAAATTTAAAAACTCTTTATATTTCAGAAGTATTACTCATAGTTATATCACAATGAACGAAATACTTTGTATAGAAGATACTGTAGGTTAAATATAACGTATAGTACCTACTATAAAATAGTATTTTTTTTTTTTAATGGATTTATTCAAACTGTAATTCTTTGAAGTTTTAATTAAACTTTATTTTCAAATGTTTGGTAATGCAAACTTCTGTTTTTTTAATAAAAACTTCTATTTTTACTGTAAATTATTTAATTGATAATATTTAAAACAAAAAAAAATTGTACCTAATTCAAAATTTGTACAAGTAGTTATTTAGTTCTTAAAATATTAATCTCAAAGATAAAAGTCCTAAAAAATAGTTTTATAAAAACATATAATAGATGTAATATTTATTTATTTTTTATTTATAAAAGTATATTTACAATCTATACAGAAAAGTACATTATGTAAATTGAATAATAATAAAGACGACTTGATTGGCTTGAGGTGGAAAACTGTCCATCAACAGTACCTCCTGATTAATTTGATGGGTTCACGTGAAGAGACCGTTTTTTATTCTATTAGGCAAAAGTGTCTCTTAGCCATTTTCTTTACAATCTCCTTTGAGGGTTGCTGGGGATGGTTATAGGGGACATACGAGAAATAATAGGGTTTTGGTTCGAATGGAACTTTTTATAGTGCTGAGTTGCTAATTTATTAACTGTTGACATTTATAGATCCTTATGTAGTGCGTCGTTGGTCATATACCATGGGGTTCCAGTTATTTGTTTAAGACATATCGATTGGAAGGCTTGTATAGGTCTTATATAAGATGGTTTGGCTTAGATTCAGATTTGGGATACCATATGACAAAAAAAAGAGTCTTGTAAATTAATATTTTATTTTAGATGCAAAATTAAATCTAATATTAATTATACACGGGTCATTTATATAAATAATTAATAATGATAGATTAATATAAATTATAAAAATGTTCAAATAACCACAAACCCTGTGTATTTTTCAAATTCATTATCATGGTCCTATCTTTAGTTAAATAATTCAATAACTACTCGTTCGAATTTTTATTTAAATTTAATATACATCAATAGTTTTATAAAAATGATCTGTTAAATAATTTACTGTTTAAAAAGGGAGGAATATTGTAATTTAAAAAATATAAGTTTGTATCTCCACACGACACTCTTTATGTAATTCAAAAAAAATCTTCAGAATTTGAAAATACGGTCTTTAAGTAAAGACAATTAAGAATTCCAAAAATCAGATTTTAAATTATTACGTCATTAGAAAAGAAAAACCCAAAAGGTGAGCATGTTTTAACGAATCTCTCTGTGTATTACCGTAAATATGAACACAGTAAATTTTTATATATTACACAGTAACAACCCTATAATCATTACACTCACGATTTAATTATATGCGCTTAAGCCATAGATAAATAGATAAAGACACACGAGTTTAGAAAATGATTAACAAGTGTATATGACGTCTAAATTTAAATATAATTGAATAACAATAAAATAATTGTTCGCCGTGCTTATTTAATGTAAACACGTGAACATTGAATAAACATGCAACTCGAGTATTGACGTATTATCATATTGTTGTTTTTTATAACATAAATTATAATACATTTATACACATACTTATATTTATACAAATATAGCCTATAGGTAATTAAATATAATTATAGGTACTATAGTCTATAGACCATAATCTATTAATATTTCAGTTAGTTTTCACAATATTGTGTTATAGTTTGTTATATTAAATCATTATCAACTACTTATATCTTTAGTAAAATAAATTAAGATATTTTAAGTTCTCAATTTTTTTTTTAAATCAATTGATTTAAATAAATATTTACACAATTGTAATAAATTGTTTACCTAATACCTATTAACAATATGTATTTTAAAACATTACAATTTAATGATATGTTAATTACTAAAATCACTAATGACAATACTCTTTAATAATATAAAGTATTTGATATTAACCTTAAGGCATTCCCACACATAATATTGAAAGTTTATGTATTTCTACATTTAATAGACCGGCAAAACTTTAAGTCCTTGATTTTTTTTTAAAAGCCCCTTCTATTTTCTAATTATTTAATTCATATACTCCTTATAATACCTATGTTTATGTTTTTACATTAAATAATTTGGCAATGCTAATTTAGTAATCTCCCAACTTAGTGTTAGTTTTAAAATATTTAATATGATTAAGTAATTGTTTAGATACCTAAGAATATACATGAAGCCAAATTAAATGACTTATATCAAACATTCATATTAAAATGAACTCAACATTTCTACAGGGTCCTAAAGGGGGGAAGGGTTAAGATCCAAAAATTCAATTGAAAATTTAATCACTAAAAAATATTCTCATACCATTAAAATTAAATTTAGTCTAATAAATAAATAATACATAGAAAATAACAATAGAAATTTAAAATTATTTTAAAACAATTATATAATTTGCTTTAAAAATTTAAAAATAAATGTTAGGTCCTAGATAATAATTTTACCTATAAATTTGATTGTAGACCATATCACTCTAATATTAAAAATAATGGTGTTAAATAGATAATTCTGAGTTAAAAATGTTATGTTATGCATTAAGAAATTGATGAGAACATATGCAAGTATAACATATTTTTTTTAATTTTTTTTTTTTTTAATTTAATTTTTATAACATACAATTTGTAAATTAGTGTTACAATAAGTATTTATATTAAAACAAAAGAATATTATGACATACATGATGAATAAACATAAAAAAAAAGCAGCCGCTCAAAGGTGACACTTTATAAAATGTTTAAATAAGATAGATTTTTGTTTTTTTAATCATACAATCTGAAATTTAGTCTTAAAAAAAAATAAAAAAAATATAACTGCACAAATGTATTATATTTTGATTAAAATTTTAAATTTACATCAACAAATGATCAGTGTTCATTGTTTAACAATCAGTAATTAATAATGAATTAACCATCTAGCATTCTAGCATAAAAAAAATTTCATTCAATAAATTAATGAATTTTAACTAATTTGTATATGATTCTATATATAATTTTAATTAATACAATAATCAATGTTATATTGTACTTGTTTGATATATGAGTGATGTAAAATAAAAATATCAACTCCAGGTTTCAGTTTGGTAAAATCCTTTAGTTTCCATCATATCTATAGTATTTAAATGTTTATTTTTTGTAAGTATGTTTATAAATACATTTTTAACTGCAGTTGGCATATCTTTTGCATTTCCAGCAACAAATACATAACATTCTTTATTAGAAAGTAATTTTAATAATTCTTCTTCATTTTGTTCTAAAATATGCTGTACATAACTGCAAAAATACAAAAACATATTTATTTGATGATATAAAAATCAAGAAAATATTGAAAAATT